TAAGACTTACATTTAAGTGTGTAAGAAGAGGCTTACACCTAATTGAAAGCTTAGAGTCATTCAATTTCCCTATAGTTAACAGGGCTTTTCAAATTATCTGTTTTCATATTGGGTGAGTCATGGTAGTTTATGTCAGATCAGGCTGGGCAGGCAGCAACCAAAGGATGCAGATTTAAAAGGGCCACTGAACAGGCTTTATTGAGATATCACTCCCGGGTGGAACTCGATCAGACCCACAGAGGGAACAGGGGAAGGGTCTGAGGAGAAACCGCGTGGAAGCTCTACAGGACTGGATTTTTATGGGGTTTACAGCAGGAAGGGAAAGGCTTGGGACAGGAAAAGGTGTCTCTAGGGTCCCTTGCCCCCTTGGAGTTGGTCAGGGGAGTTGGCTGAACTCCAGGATTGGCCAGGGGGTCCTGCTGATTGACAGGTGTTAGGAGATCTGGCTGATTGACAGGCGTTTCCACCAGCATCTGATTGATGTTCAAAGCAGCACGGGCTGCTTTGTTCTAAGTTGCCACTAAGTCGACACCAAGTCCCTGCCACCCACCTAACAGTTTGTGCATTTCAAGAAATTGGTTCATGTCATTTAACTTGTTGGACTTTTTTATATGTAAATGTTATATAGTATTCCTCTATTATGCGTTTGATATCTACCGTGGTCTGTAGTGATATCCCCTTTATCATTATTCCTACTGACAAGTTGTGTCTATTGGGTTGTTTTTTGTTTGTTTTAATTTATTTTGAGACAGGGTCTTGCTAAGTTGCCCAGGCTGGCCATATACTTGTGATTCTCCTGTCTTAGTCTCCTCTGAGTCACTAGGATTACAGGCTTGTGCCACTACACCCAGCAACTTTTTTCAGTCTTGCCAGAGGTTTATTTATTTTCTTTTTTGTGATGATATGGATCAAACCTAGGGCCTTTGTATGCAAGACAAGTGGTCTGCCACTGAACTATATTCCCAGCCCTAAGATTTGTTGACCTTTTCAAATAACCAGCTTTTTGTTTCATTAACTTTTTCTCTTTTAATTTCATTGACTTCTTCCCTTGTATTTATTATCTCCAATCTAATGCAAGGTAGTAGTTGAAGTCTGTATTCCCTGCTCTGCCACCATTGACATCYGGATGAGGAGGGCCACCTTCTTGCTAGTGTGAGAGTGTGGGAGTTCACACTCCCATTAGGCTTTCCTTGAAGGGATGTGGGTGCTCCTGGTATGTACTCCATTAATAATTTCCAGGGAGTGGTGACATGGTGTTCAGAGGAGGTTATAATAGATGGCAATAGAAGTCTTGACTACAGTTCACTATCCCTGCAGTGTAGCTTGGAGGTAGACAATAATAGCTTCATTATTACTCAGGCACTGCAGGTAGTCTCCATTGCAGTTACAAGGGGCTTTGCTGATCAAAGGCCCAGCTGCCCAGGGGGCTTCCCTGACACTATGGGTGATTGGGGCATCTGATTTCAGTTTGGCCAGGGTGGAAATCAAGGCTTCCCAATAGGCTTTTGCTGGTGGAAAAAGGGGGCACAGGTTTTTGTGTGTGTGTGATATTTGACTGTTTATTGAGTATTGGAGTGATTATTGTGTATATTTTTTTCAATCTATCTTGCAAGGCTGCCTCTTTCCTGTTCCTCTGAGTAGTTTTTGTTTTGTTTTTTTGTTTTTAAAACAGGTATTTTTATTTGTACATAGATATATACTTAGTATATGTATTTTTTTGCATTTTAATACTATTTTTATTCTAATTAATTATACATGATAGTAGAATGCATTTTGACACATCATATGTAAATTAGTATAACTTCTCATTCTTCTTTTGTACATGATATTGAATCACACTGTTTGTGTAATTATATATATATACATAGGGTAACAATTTCCGATTCATTCTACTATTCTTCCTATTCCCATACCCCTCCCCTCTCTTCACTTCCTTCTGCCTATGCAAAGTATCTCTATTTTCCCTAGCCACACACTCCCCATTGTGAATTAGCACTCACATATTTGAAAAAAAAAGTCACCCTTTGTTTTTTGGGGGGATTTCCTTAATTTTGCTTAGCATAATTCTTCAGCTCCATCCATTTACCTGCAAATGCCATAACTTCATTCTTCTTTAAGGCTGTGTAATATTCCATTGTGTATATATCACCACATTTTCTTTATCGATTCATCATTTGAAGGGTATCTGTGTTGGTTCCATAGTTTGGCTATTGCAAATTGAGCTTCTATAAACATTGATGTGGCTGTGTCACTGTTGTATGCTGATTTAAAGTTCATTGGATATAAACTGAGGAGTGGGATAGCTGGGTTAAACGGTGGTTTCATTCCAAGTTTTCTGAGGAATCTTCATATTGTTTTCCAGAGTGGTTGCACCAATGCAGTCCTCTTTGGGTAGCTTTTTGGTATTTTTTTTAGTTTGTACCTTTTGGTATTTCAGGAATGCCAATGTCATGATAACCCATTTTGGAGTATATAAGGATAAAAGAAAATTAAGTGAACTCACAATGTGTTCCTTGGGTCCTGAGTTCTTTTGCCAATCTGCTGCCTTCTCTCTACTGTTTGCATTTTTTTTTTTTTTGAGGTGGATACTGGGGATTTAACCCAGGGGGCTTTACCACTAAGTCACATCCCCAGCCCACTTTTATTTTTTATTTTGAACCAGGTCTCATTAAGTTGCTTAGGGACTCATTAATTTGCTGAGGCTGGCCTCAAACTTGAGATACTCCTGTCTAAGCCTCCTGAGTTGTTAGGATTACAGGTACATGCCACCATGCCTGACTGTTCATAATTTTCATATGTTTGTTTTTATATAGGACAGTGGGAGTGTTTAGCTGTACATAGCTAGAGAAATAATGAAAATAAGGATTACCCTCTCTCTTCAGTGAAGTCTATTGTCACATCTTTACAACTTTAATGTTAATTCTTGGCCAGTATTATATGTTAAATAATCACTGACATAATGGAACCCAGTTTGGGGTTTGTCTTTTTTACTTTGAACACAGTAATATTTTGATTATCTATAGTTCTATAACAAAGTTGACTATATTAATCTTTCTTTTAAAGCTTTTCCTTTTTGTTTTTTGCTTAACAAGTCTTATTCCTACCCCAAGATAACAAAGATAATTTACATTTCATTGTGAATTTTGGGCTAGTCAACTTTCTGTTAATATAACAAAATACCTGAGATAAACAGTTTATTTTTTAAAAGATTTACTTGGGCTCAAAATTTTGGAGGGCTCAGCCTGTGATGGGTTGGCCTCATTGCTTGTGGTGGGCTGTGGTGAGGCAGCACATCATGGTGGGAGTACCTGGCAGAGCAAAACCACTTGGCCTCACCAGCCAGGAAGGAACAGGGAATGTGGAAGAAGGGGTACACACATTCCCAAAGAGTAAGGACCTCTCACTTGGTCTGATCTGGTATTGTGTATTCAGTTCTATTTTGTTTATTTGTACATAAATATCCCACTATCTTAATTGTTGTAGCTTTGTAGTATGTCTCATTATTTAGTAGTCATTTCAGCTGATCAAAGTTCTTTTTTTTTTAGAGAGAGAGAGAGAGAGAGAGAATTTTTTAATATTTATTTTTTAGTTTTCGGTGGACACAACATCTTTGTTTGTATGTGGTGCTGAGAATCGAACCCCGGCCACACCCATGCCAGGCGAGCATACTACCGCTTGAGCCACATCCCCAGCCCTCAAAGTTCTGTTAAATCTCTATTGGAATTGCTGCTAAAACATTGAATCTATAGATATGTTTAGGGAGAATTGGCATCTTTACCATTGTGAATATGTTTTTTTCACTATTTAGASTTTTTWAAAAAAAAGATTTTTTAGATTGGACATTGAATTCAGAGGAGCTTTACCACTGAGCTACATATCCAGTTATTCCCATCCCAGTTGCCCCCAAGAAGGTCTGGCTGTTACCCAGGCTCACTTTAAACATGTGATCCTCTTACCTCAGCCTCCCATGTAGCTAGGGTAACAGGTGCCACCATGCCTGGCATTTAAATGCTTTCAAATATAACTTAACATTCTCCACAGTGATGTTTAGACATCTTTTAAAATTTATTCTTAATTAATATATTTGTGTTCTATTATTAAGTGGATTGATCCTTTATTTACTTAGTGGTGCTGAGGATCAAATCTAGGGCCTCACATAGATAAGCCTTCACTCTACTGTTGCACAGCATTCCTAGCCCCAAACTAATTTTATTAATTAAAATTTTTGTTTCCTACTTGATATAAAATTGGCCTTTGAATTATTTTGTATTGGTCCTTTTTTTAAAAATATTTTTTAATTGTAGATGGACACAATACCTTTATTTTATTTGTTTATTTTTTTGTGGTGCCAAGGATCGAACCCAATACCTCCTACATGCTAGGCAAGCGCTCTATCATTGGCCCCTGTGTTGGTTCTTATATGCTRTATTTTAAAATGTATTGCAAGCTCCTCTAAGCTCATATTAGATTTTTAATGTACTTACTATTTATTGTTTTACTACACGTTATGGAAGAGGATTGTTTTCTCCTAAAGCAATGCCATTTGCATTTTTGTTAAAGGGAAACAGAATAGTGTTTCATATTATCCTGTCAAAGTTTTAACACAAAATATTTGTGCTCCACTCCCAGAAATTTTGATTCTGTAGGTTTAAAGAGAACCACAGTTCCTTGTTCATTTAAAAATCTATGTGGTTCTGTACATTCCTGTTTAAAACCACTGCCAGGGAAGTTACTAAACAGTAAATGTAGTAGCTAATGGGGGTGTCTATTTTAGGAGAGGGCATATCATTTAAAATTATGAACATTGAAGCATCATTTAATATTTTGAGTATGATATATGTAAATAAAAATATATACATAAAATGAATTGCTTATGAACTTAAATAGGCATGAATTTTATATGAATGGACATTGTAGAAGAACCCAGTTACATTGTAGATGTGTTGTTTAGTACTCAGTATATTATATTAAAACTTAAAATGTAATTTTGTCTTTCCCAGTTGGAGTCATTCGATGCCCAGTGTGCAGCCAAGAATGTGCAGAGAGACATATCATAGATAATTTTTTTGTCAAGGATACTACTGAGGTTCCCAGCAGTACAGTAGAAAAGTCTAATCAGGTAAGTGGATAATTTTGAGCTTTGAGCTTGTGCCAGCTATTGATGAGGCACCTAAAATCCTGGAGGGCTCAAGTGAAAGGAGCCAAATTTTAGACCATTAATTTATGAAGGTGTATAGTATTTTTAAGTATATAAATAATAATGAAATGGTTCAATGTTAAAAACAAGAGTGCCAGACACCCATGATTACATCCCTGTATTCCCCATCCTCTCCAGAGAAAAACATTATTCTATATTTGACATTATTTCATTTCTTTATACTTAAATATATATTGACAATTAGATTTTAATTTCAATCTCCTTTTTCACTTTTTTCTGTTCTAATGATATCTGTGAAATACATCATATCTTTGATTAGTGAGGAGTCTGCTTTTTTTAGGAAAGCTATTTTTTCTATATGGTATTATTTTAAAAGCCTCATTTGGTAGCATTGTCCCAGGCATTGGATTTAGAGATACAATGGTATCTTCTTTCCTACTTTCATAACCTATATAGAACATTTCTATTGGCCACTTAAATCTGGATATCAGGTCCCTAAGGAAGATCCTTGGTACTGTAACTGGGGTTAGCCACACTGAGATAGGCATATTTGTCTACTTGTGGAACATGATTCATCAGTGATTCCTCTAGGCAGTTCCTTTCATTTGTAACAGAAGATCTGGAGAGGAACTAAATTTGGTTAGGAACTAAATTTGGTTAGGGAAACATGATTATTAGTTGTTTTATCAGAAATTTGTTTAGTGCACATGCTTATTTTCTGTGCTCTTTTTTTTCATTTTTAGCTTTTTGTTTCTCAAGGGAAGTACAGGAATGCACAGGTTACTTTATAAATGAGCATAGCCGTTACTAATTAAAATTATTTTTGTACCAGGCATGTAGCTCAGTTATAGACCTTTTGCCTACCATGTGCAAGGCCTTGAGTTCTAACCTGAACACCACAAAATAAAAGTCTTTTTTTTGTTTCAAAGGTATTTATAGTTATTCACTAATATGAACTCTCATTAAAGCCCAAAATTCCACTTTCTTCACGGGTACTTTCTAATTATTATGAATCACCTTTCAAGAATGGAAATGGGTTGGGGGTATAGCTCATTGGCACAGTATGTGCTTAGCATGCTTGGGTTCCTGGGTTCAGCCTCCATCACCCAAAGGGAAAAAAGAAAAATGGCATTGGATTTGAAGACCATAATATGGGTCCTATGGGTGCTCATCACCATTGGGTTAGTCATTTTTTCTAGGCCTTTCGTGGTAATAATCTAACAAATCTTTTTATTAGAAAGAAAGACAATGTAAGTATTTATCTATTTCTAAGTCAGAATTAATATGGTTGTACTTTTTAATTTTATATGTGTATCTCTTCTATTCTGGAAACATTGGTTCTTTATTAAATTGGCCATAATTATTTTCTCCAGTAAAAATAAATATCCACTATATATTATACGAGTATATTATATTTGTATTGGTGCAACAAGGAATTATTTTAATTCTTAAAATGAATTGTTAACTAGCTATAAAATTTCTGTAAAGATCAAAAGAAAGTTCTTTAAGTATTCACCAAGGAGTCACTTTTGGGAAGGAGCTGAGGAAACAAAAGCAAAAGATGGCATTATTTAAAGAGGAAGGATTTTGTGGAATATCACCATGGCTGGTGCTGGGTCTAAGTCTTCAGCTTGGAACTCAGATCTCTAAACCCTTGGTGCTGGTGTCTCTGAAGTAGGTTGCAAGAAAACTGGTTCTAGAAGTATTAGATAAACTTCCAACTAGAGCTGACTATTTCTGTAAGAAAGAACTGGTACTCCTGGGGGAAAGTAGCATTGTCTGGAGTGATGTTCCACAGAATTCACAAGCAGAGAGCTAACTGCAAGCCTCAAGTCTCCTCTTCTGACGTTCCAACTTCCTTGCAGACCACCAATTGTTAGAGTCTAAAGTGAAACCAACTGCAACACATAAACGTAGCAGAATAAGAGTACATGGAAGAGTAAAGCTGGAGCCTAAAGGAAATTGTAGAGTGTAGCAAAACAGAAAGCAAGAACCATGGTTACATGTATTAACTGGAAGGTGTACAATCAAATCTCTCTCTCTCTTTTTTTTTTTTTTTTTTTGTACTGGGATATAACTCAGGGGCAGTTTTCCACTGAACTACATCCCAGACATTTTTTACTTATTATTTTGAAACAGGGGCTTACTAAGTTGCTGAGGTTAGCCTTGAACTTAAGCTTCTCCTGCCTTAGTCTCCTGAGTTGCTGGCATTACAGTTATGTACCAGTGCTCCTGGCTCAAATCATCATGTTTTAAAGTTACATTTTACAAAAAAAAAATTTTTTTCCCTGTGGTGATAAGTCATCCACTTGATAGACAGCTATGGTTGCTGCTTCATTTGGTTTTGATGTTTAGGGATTTAAGTTTTTAAAATTTGTATTATTATAACTACATTTAAAACATTCATATACTTCCAAAATAAAATCTAAAAAAAAACCAGGATATTTTCACAGAGCTTCTATCCCTATCATATCTACCATATTTCTTCCCTACCTTATAGGTAACCAATTACTACTTTTATAGTTGTCCTTCTGTTTTTTTAATATGACAATGGAATGTATTACAATTCTTTTTACACACATAGAGCACAATTTTTCATATCTCTGGTTGTATATTTACACCAATTTGTGTCTTCATACATGTACTTTGGCTAATTATGATCATCACATTCCACCATCATTAATAACCCCATGCCCCCTCCCTTCCTCTCCAACCCGTCTGCCCTATACTAGATTTCGTCTATTCTTCCTGTGCTCCCTCTCCCTATCCCACTATGAATCAGCCTCCTTATATCAAAGAAAACATTCTGTATTTGTTTTTTGGGGATTAGCTAATGTCACTTAGCATTATCTTCTCTAACTCCATCCATTTACCTGAAAATGATTTTATTCTCTTTTATTGCCAAGTAATATATCATTGTTTATATATGCCATATTTTTTAATCCATTCACCTATTGAAGGGCATATAGGTTGGTTCCACAGTTTAGCTATTCTGAATTATGCTGCTATAAACATCGATGTGGCTGTGTCCCTGTAGTATGCTRATTTTAAGTCCTTTGAGTATAGACTGAGGAGAGGGATAGCTGGGTAAAATGGTGGTTCTATTCCCAATTCTCCAAGAAATGTCCATTCTACTTTCCATATTGGCTGCACCAGTTTGCAGTCCCACCAGCAGTGTATGAGTGTACCTTTTTCCCCACTCCTTGCCAACA